TGCACTTAACCTATACAATCTCAACCCCCCCCCCCCCCCGAAGTTCATTTAGCAGTGGTTCAATTCTTTAGCATAGATACTACCATAGAGGCAAATATTAAAGGCCATTGAATGTAAATCTCGGTAATATGGATATGAATTTTGTAGAATATGGCAGGAAATTACTAAGGGTCACCTTCTTAACTCAGTGGAATCCGTCCTCATAAGAAATGCAGTCCTAGCAAGAAAGTGTATAATTTAATTTCAGTTAGCTAGTGTTAGCTCCTTACCAGGAATTTAGAAGAAAATTAGGAACACTTCACTTATGCTTTTTGGCTCATTGGATACATCCCAGTTGTTTTACGCTAGGTTTAGGTTAACAAGTCTCAAAAAGTCTGACGTGGTGCAAAGATTGAGTGGGTTTATTGTTCTCTTCTCAGATTAATCTCTTATTCTGATTTCAGTAATTTTCAAATAATCTGAGTGTATCCCATTGGAGTTAGAACTGAGAATAATGATATGAAATGAGAAAAGAAACTTTTAAACTGTATAGTCACATTTTTCTAAAGGTATGTTGACACTGCAAAAAAAAAATCCACTGTGGCAGTAGGTCGTAGAGCCCAGGTCAACTGACTCAGGTTCACAGGGTTTGCGCTATGAGACTAAAAGTAATAGTGTAGATGTTCCTGCTCAGGCTGGAGCCCAGGCTCTGAGACCCTCCCCCCCTCACTGGGTTTCAGAGCCTGAGCGGGAGTGTCTGCATTGCTATTTTTAGCCGTGTAGTGTGAACCCGAGTCAGTTGACCCAGGGTTTTGTGCAGTGTTAGACAAACCCTAAGAGATGAGAATAATAGAATCTTGTTCCATGACTTGGGGGAAGTCTACCTACAGTATTAAGTCTACCTAAGTTATGATGACGTACAGCCACCCACAGTAACTAAATAACTTTTGCATGTCCACACCGTGCTCCTTGAATTGGTGATGCATGTCCTCACCTGGAGCGCTTGCACTGATTTAACTGTCAGTGTGGGGCATTGTGGGATGGCTTCTGAATGGCAGCAATGCAGTGTCTACGCTGACAGTGCGTCGACCTAACTACATTGACGTAAGCACTACACCGCTCACAGAAGTGGAGTTATTAAGTCAGTGTAGGGGACGAGTTACATTGGCGGGAGCAACATTTTAGTGTAGACACTTACAGATTTAGGTTGATGTAAGCTGCATTACGTCAAACTAACTCTGTAGTGTAGACCAGGCCATGGGCTCTTGCATGCTACAGTAATAGAAAATAATAAATACTAATTGTGGAATAGTCTCCATAGAGCCAATGAAAGCCTCATTATTTGAGTGCTTTAAAACTTGACTAAACATAGCATCATGGAATATTAGTAGGGCGCGAACCTGCACTGATTGAGGAATGGATCATATAACCTAGTAGGTCTTTCCATGTAGTGATAGATTGCAAATGTCTTTTCGGGTCTGATCCACCACCACTTAAATCCATGGAAAGACTCCTATTAGCCTATCAAATTCACTTCTACTTGTAACTAGAGCAAAGGATGTCAGCCTAGTCTTTAGTAGAGAGAGGCTCGTATCTGAAACCATTGTGCCTTGTCATATTATTATGTATCCTGAGCTTTTATCAGGAAAGACCAAAAGAGTCTCTTACTGTACTTTTTTCAGAGTAGCAGCCGTGTTAGTCTGTATCCGCAAAAAGAACAGGAGTACTTGTGGCACCTTAGAGACTAACAAA